CACAAGCAACCTTTCCCTTTCCTCATCCTGGTCCCAGCTACAATAAGTTCTGGCTCTTGAAGTAGGTCTGTAAAACAACTAATTTGTTACCAAAATTATCTGCCCTGCACTGAAAGCCAAATTATTCTGCCAACCCTTGCATATAATGCACACAAAAATTAAAGGCATTAAAGGCATAGCCCATGAAGTGCCGTAGACTCCAGCCACCTTCTTGGAGGTCAAAATGTCATTTCATGGACTATAAAGGTAACTGCAGGAGCTAAATTAAGCTTCTGAACAGGGCATGCAAGTCATTAGGAACTGCTCTTTCCCCCTCCGCTTCCCTCCTTTCTCAGACTCAAGGGAGCCTGGTTCTTGTTTCTTCAGACAAGCCACCCACTCACAGGATATTCAACCAGAGAATTTCCATTGCGTGCTCTTGGCAGCCTGGTGTTTGCCGCAGTGGCTGACCTGACCCGCCAGCTTGCCTCGTCACAGCATCCACAACACAAGCCAGGCTTCAGTTCCTGGGTTATTTCTGCAACGGCAGAGAAGTGAGCTGAGTCCTGCCTTTCTGGGGTTGCTTTGTCCAAACCTCACACCATGTGAGCTGATCAAATGCTTCCAGCTGCTCCAGGTGCCCGGGCAGAGCATTTGCCTGGCAATGCATGTCGTGTGCTGTCTGCTGTGGATGGGATGCTTATGCAAAGGGTTGATATTTTAAACAACTGAATTTTTTGACTGCAGGCAGCATCTTTTTATTGTGAGGCAGACATCACATGATTTTCTGAAAAGACCGCAGAGCCTTGCTGACAGGTTTGATGGAGAAATGGAAGCATGCATGACTAGAAAGTCTGCATTGTTATACAGTCAGTGTTCACTGGCAGCTTTCAAGCAGAACCATGAGCACTGGATGGTGGGACATGTATTTAAGTGCATAGCTCAGATGACAGAGAACTAAGTCTAATAATATCCACATGAGGAAGGGCCAACCGCTAAAACTCTCAGCCACCCAAGAGTTCTCCTGGCCCCTATGCAGGCTGACACACAAACAAGACGTGCTCCAGGACTCAAGAGTAAGATAAGATCCTCTGGAAGCAATTCCAGACTGCTGTGGATGTGTGGTTTATCAGCATCAATCATAATGGCAACAAGTATGTAATACCCGCCTTGCAAAAACCCACCCAAAACCCCCAACTGAAATGCATGTGTTGAGGTAAAGACTCAGGGAGAAAAATCAAGGAGTGAGCTAAAACCCTCCACAAAAGCCTTGTGGCACTAATGGCACTGCACTGGTGAAAGCTCCCAGGCCAACTGCTTGAAACATCAAGAAGAAAAGCAGAGGATGGATGGAGGTAACAAGAAACTGCCAAGGTGGGAGTAGATTAAAGTGGAAGAGTGCACCTTGTTAAATGTAACTGTGCTGTTCAGGTTCACATTCAAACTTCCAGTATGGTGAATAGTCATGTTCATGTTTGTTTTCAGATCAGACTCTAATTTATCCCCCCTTCTTCGTCTTTTTGGTTATTCACCTCGTCTCGTTTAGGTAAATAGACTTCCTGATTTACTAAAAGTCATTATTTCCAAGCCAGTCCCTAAACTACCTTCAGCACCTCACAAACGTATTACACTTTTGCAAAGCTCTACCTCTAATTTCACCGTCTTATATTTATTTGAGCTTTCTGAAACCATAAGGTCTTTCTAACCTGCACAGCCTAAAACTCACAGAACTGCTCTTGCAAACAGATGCTGGAGATCCCAGAACCAGCTGCAAGCTCTCGTTCTGGTGGCTCGAGTCTGAAGAGGAGGTATTCTGAGAAAGGAATCATGCTTGTATGGGATCAGCAAATCTGGGCCATATACGTAAGAAAAGCTCAACTCCTTCCTTTGATACTGCTTCTCGCTGTCATAGTAACAAGCAAATCAGATAAAATTAACAACAAATGAAAAAGCAGGACTGGCCTTTAGCCGTGTTACTGCTCCACCTGCTTAGAGACCAGCAAAGCTGTCAGTGCTCCAGATGTACTGCATAGCTGGATATGAAAATTTAGCATCACTTCATTTCTATTTCACTAAACAGGAGAATGGTTATTGCCTGATCCTGCTTATAGTGAAACAACAGAAATGTCAGTAGAGGAGGACTGAGCTACTAGAATTTAATTTCACTGGAATGGCTGGACTTGAACAGCACTCAGGTTGGATAGAGAAATCGTGGTGGGTAGGGAAAAACAGAGCTTTCTTCCCCTGTTACGCAGCAAATATAAATGAGCTGTTTACTGCACAGCACAGACTCTTGTGGACCAGGGCATTTTAGTTCAGAAATAATTCTAAATTGAAACCATGGCTTCTCTTTTAACTGTATTTTTGACCCATTTAATGGAGGTCTCATGCATACCTTGGCTCAGAAATGTGCTGTGCGGGCAGACGGGGCAGAAGCATGACTCTGAGCCCTAAGTTATGCTGATTATTGATCCTCATCAATCCAGCTTTAAAAATGCATCTCATTGTTCAGACTGGGTATCAACAAGAGCCAAATGTAGTAGTACTTATAGACTCATAGAATGGTTTGGGTTGGAAGGGACCTTCAAAGATCATCTAGTCCAACCCCCTTGCCATGGGCAAGGACATCTTTCACGAGATCACGTTGCTCAAAGCCCCATCCGGCCTGGCCTTGAACACTTCCAATAATGGGGCAGCCACAAGTTCTCTGGGCAACCTGTTCCAGTGTCACTGGATCATCCTCATCATAAAAAAAATTCTTCCTTATATGCAATCTACTTGATAACTGACTATGTACTTTTGGTGGTAGACACTAGACACATGTACAAGGCTGAGACTGCGGGGAGTATGGTGACACCTCCGATGTACATAGACACACCAGGCTGAGCGGCTGCATTGCCTCCTTGTGCACTTCTGCCCTGTGCCACCACATATCGCATTTAGAGCGGTCACTGCAAAAGCTGAAACTATTGTGCTTCGGGTGATCAGAGCACGCAGTAAAAACAGTGATAATTACCAGCAGGTTGGCAGCCAGACAATGTGCCAAAGAAAGGGGGAAATACAGAATAGAAAATTTATTTTAGGAAGGCTCTTGGAAAGAAGATTATTTTCTTTCCTTTGTATATACTGAATAGAAGAGGTTTTAAACAAAGCACAGATTTTGCATGTCTGCTGAAAGAAGTCACCAAAGAACTGCCTGAAAACAACAGTGAAACAAGACTGTAGCTTTTAAGACAATGTCAACTGACGTGATTGTCTGCTCTGATCATCTGTTCTCATGCCAAAAGTGCTTGTGTCACACTTGTAGAGGTGCGCGTGAACGCAACGCCCCTGTACTGACTTTAATCCTACTGCCGTCCACAGTTGGCTTCATTTTCTTGTGGAACAAAGAGAAATGAAACTAGAAACTAATTTCACCATCAAGGCATGAACTGTATTACTTGCCATGGCTTTGCATTTTGTAAATAGAGTGCCTGTGGAAAGATTATTTGCAGTAAATAAAAATGCTCTTTATTGGCAGTTAGCTTAGGTATCCGATATGTCAGTAACCTCAATGCAGGCAGAGATTGGCCCAGAGGAAGTCTTGAACTTGCAGGAGAACCTCCACCTGCATGATGCCTGTGCACAGCGGCTTCTCCTAGCGCCGGGTGATCAAGAATCTTTCCCTTAAGTAGCCAAAAGTGGTGGCTGCTTATCTCGCTTCCCAGATGGGCTGAGCAGGGAATCACACCAGAACAAGTTCACAGGCTTTGAAGCCTACATGGAGGCTTCAGATTACATTTCAACACACCCGGTAACTTCTTCATGTGGTTTTCATGCAAACCATGGGAGAAGCATAGGAGAACTGGTGTAAAACATACCCCACACAATGGGTTCATGTCAAAATCTCATTTCATGTAGGCCATGTCATAGCCTCTGTCCTAGAGACCACAAACACATAAACACAGGAGATTATGTTCTTCTCTGGTTAAGACAAATGAGATCGACAAAGAAAGACTTAATTATAAGCTACATTTCCACAAAGGAACAGATGACATTTTCAAGCAAAAAGGGTGTTTTTATGGAAAAATTATGGAAAAACCACTTGTAGCCTCTTTTGCAAAAACAAGAATATCCTTTTCTCAGTTGAATGTCATTCTTGACTTATTCCACCTCTTACTGCTGACTCCTTTTCTTTCCTTCTCACAAGATCGCAAGAATTAATGAGACACAAGTTTAAATAAGGGAGAAGATAAAAGCCTAACCCACCCTTTATGTTTCATAGATTTACAGTTTATAGCTGTAATTTTAAGTATCGATATGAAGACAGAGATTATTTAAACCTTTCAACTATCACAGGCTCTTATAAATTTTGAAGATCTCATAGATACAGATAAAGCTACTTGCTGCTGAAACCACAGGCTAGACCAGCCATAACCTAGGGCCACATTTAGGGTAAAGCAATTAAGACACAAATGAAATTCTCCTTCATAGTGACACTGAAAACAAAGCACATGTGTAATATGAACACACATCACGCTGTCTGTGGCTCTGCATGCCATATTTCTGAATGAAATAAATTATTAATTCCTTACTTATTCTTCAGCTGCTCTGCATCCATTCTTGTAATTAAGAACATTGGCTAGACTAAACATAGTGATTAAAATAGTGCACCAACTGTGTGTCTAAAGAATACCTAACGTTTTGCAGTGCTGATTTTTTTATATTCAATAGTGACACTTAAGAGACATTGTGTCACTCCTGAATGAGTTTATTACAGTTTCTTTTCTACCACATCTTTTTAACTTCAATTCATCATCCTATTTTGAGACTCTGGATCTATTGATCGGAATAGATTTTTGGTACACCCTTTGTATAAAGAAATGCTCGAGCTAAGTGTTTTCTAACATACTTGAATGACAGTGCTATTGATGAAACAAAGTTTGTAAGGCAAACACAAGCCACTCTGGGCTTAACAGGTAAACTTCTAACTTAGGTCATGCACAAGGTATAGAACAGATCTCTGAAAAAAATGCACTTACCTGGTATGTAAACAGCACTTCACTCGGTGATTTACCTAATTTTCCGTTGATGTTAACTTCAATTTCACCTTGTTTTGGTTCATTCATTGGTCCAACTTGACATACAATCCTAGCAAGAAAGTATGTAAGTTTGTCTGTTAGAAGTAACAGCTGCAATACCAATGCAATGCATGTGAGCTACCGTACATACTGTCAACAAAAGCACTAACTTTGCTTTATCTTACACAAGGTACTTGAACACTGCCTCAGATTCCCAGCAAAACCACCCAGGAATAGTTTAATCTCCTATCTAAAGGTAGGTAAAGCTGAAACCTGAGCACTGTATACAGCAACTACTTAGCAGTTAGTTAGTAGAGGTGCCTTCTACAGAAGACTCAAAATCAGCCCAGAAGTCAGAGTAACCTCTTCAACCTTACACAAGGTTTTCACTGGACCTGGCGATGTCCAAAAATCAAAGAACACCCCCACCGCCCACCTTGATGTGAGAATCAGACTGTCAGCTATCTTATAACTGTGTGTTTTAGCTGCTGATACTTTTGCTGTGCATCCTGCTATCTTTCAGCTTTAAACTACTGTATTTTCACACTTACGATCAAAATCCCTTTAGAATTACTGTTCTCTGAAAAGAAATCCTCTGATAACCCTCGCAAAATCAGAGGTCAAGGAACACTGGCTGTGAAAACACTGCCTTAACTAACACTGCTGCTGAGTGATAGCACGGATGTTTAAATTTTTATTTCAAACAGGTGATCCACAGAATATAAGCATGAAAATGCAATAAGGATTTAACACACTTGAAAACTGGGACAAATGCTTAACGGAGAGCTGATAATACAGTTAGATAAGGAGGTATACAATGTTTGCAGCCTGCACAGGCAGACAGTTTCATATAGGACACACCCTAA